TGTGTGTGTGTGTGTGTGTGTGTGTGTGTGTGTGTGTGTGTGTGTGTGTGTGTGACAAAAGTAAGCCAGTGTTTGTACGGGTTTTCTGTGCTTCAACATGTAGATAGATGTGGGCGTGTGTGTAGGCAGCACTGCTGCATGCACAGCTCTGGCTCAAAACACAGTGACGCATTCACACCAAGTGGGTGAAGTTCGTGGGATGCATTTTTTTTTTTCCTTTCCTTTTTTTGTGGGGTGTGTGTATATAAATACAGCTTAAACCACATAGCATTTTTTGACTAGTTTGTTTATTAAATGCTGTTTTATTAAACATTTCTGGTAACTAAACAGAACAACAATCTGTTGCTAGAAAAGGTTTCTCACTCAACATTTGATTTTTCACTTCCCATCGCCACGACACAACCTGCTAATGAGGATCTATTTGGTTACTTTAAAGTAGAAAAAGTAAGTGACTGGTTACAATTGTTATATAATTAGGCATTTTAGATTATTTAATGAGCTTAAAAGGGCCTGTGACGTGCCTATCCTTCAAATACGAAAGAAAATATGTTTGTCTTTAAGATACTTGGCATAATATACGATTTTACACATTTTGTTACATATTTTTCTTTTGAACTTAGCTCAGCCACTGTGAAACAGGAAGTTGAACTCTGAGTCTTCTTTATTTCTTTCAGATTCTTCTCAATAGTCTTTACATTATAGCAAAGCTCTGTTTACATGCAGATATWCCCCTTTGGCATCACTTCCTGTTATTTCACATATGAATATTTTAACTGTTCATCTCAGCACCATGATTTTTTTGTATTATGTTATCAATGTTATCTGTCTAAAACTGCATTCATATTTATTACAGAAATTTGATAAATAAAAGTATCCACCCATCTAGATGTTTTAGTCCTGTTCTCTGATGAGAGCAATGAGTTCTACAAACAACAGAAAACAACAGAGGCAGTAAAAGTGTAATAGTTTAAACTGGCTTATTTACATACTGCTAATATATAACAAAAACTAAGCTGCTAACTTAAAATAGACTCCTGGCAAGACAAATCTAAAAAGAAGAAACAAGCGGGAAGTGGGAATTATGCTATGGCTTAAAGTCTGAAGAACAACATAGACAGAGGGAAAAACTGAGCAGAAAATACTAAATTCAAACAGAATGAGATGTTTTTGTTTGCAGCTGACACATGACAGTCAGCTTGTATCTGTGTAACAGAAGTGACAAAGCCCTCTCAAGATGTCTGAACTCGATGTCCACTTCTGTCTGTCCCAGAACGCAACAGATGTCACCTGTAACTCTGGCTGACTGGTAAATCTATGACTCAAACTAGGACTGAACATCCCTAACAGGCTCAGCTACATATAGACATTTTCGAACTGATGGAAGACCTCCAAATATTTTCTTTTTTTCTCATCTTGCCCTTGGCCAAAAACAGGCGGCAGACAGGAGAGAGAGGAACGTCTCCAGATAGATTTTTATCAACATTAGACCTCGGGATCCTCTGAAGAATGTTAAGAAAAGCATCTAAGGTGAGATAGTGCAGCTGAGAATGCAACAGTGTCACACCTCTTATGAAAAAGGACAGATAATTACAGAAGTCGAAGGAACACATTCTTAGTTCTACTTCTGCATTTTTCCTTAAAAATAATCTTTCTAATCCTACAGATCTTGGAACATTATGCAAAAAATTGAAGTTTTCATAAAATATTGGCAGTGAAAGATTAATTGTGAAGTTCATACCTGGGAGAAAGAAGTGAAGAGCCATTGACCTGCTCAGGGGTCTGTGTGAGGAGGGAGTCCCCCTCTACCACAGAGCCCTCCACRCTGGACTCCAGCAGCAGCTCGGACGTGTTGCTTTCTCCAAAGTCCTCAAAGTGYTCCTCCTCTCCACCGATCACAGTCACCAGGGAGTGGTTGTGGAGCTCAGAGTTCAGGGAAAACCTGAGGGGCATGTGTGATTGTGTTAGCAAGTGTGCTAAAAACAATACAGTTAAGTTTTTGTCCAACTCTCAAACAGGAGGTCATTTCCAGGGTTCTGAGTGGCTAAAAACAACACTTACGTAAGTATAARCCAGGGGTCTGCAACCTTTATGGTGCGTTCACACCAAACGCGATTTCAGCATCAGGAGCCTCAGGTTTACATGCAAAGTCTATGGTGGACGCGCTTCAAGCA